AGCCTTCCAAGTAGCCGGAACTACAGGCGTGCATTACCACACCCGGCTAATTTTTGGTTTATTGTAGAGCCGAGGTTTCACCAAGTTGCCTGGGCTGGTCTCGAACCCGTGGACTCAGGCAATCCAGTCGCCTCGGCCTCCCAAAGTGCTGGGATGACAGGCTGAGCCATCAAGCCTGGCCAGTTTGTGTTTTTAATGCATGAACACTCGTCTTGTGAACACGTGGAACTGGGCTTGTGAAATTCCCTGAGTCACATCCTCTTCTGCGTTCAGCAGTTTTCAAGGTTTTAGACGGCCTCTATTGCCTGTTTCCTCGAAGGGCTCCCTTGCTCCTAGCCTCCTGGGGTCAACATCTGGCTTGGAGAAGTCCCAGGTCTCAGTTTCCTTCCCTTGGCGGCTCCCTGGTGGACTGCCTGGCCGAGGCCTTATCTCTGTAGAGGCGATTCTGCTGAAACGCCGGCCGTTTTCCACTCGATTAATGCCTCATTCCTCAAAAGTAAAGATCATTATTGAAGCTGCTAAGCTTGCATACACACTGAGGTTAATACAGCATATTTAAATAGGCTACACATTTGAAGGAGATTTAGATATGAGTTGCAGTTTCATCCATTCCACCTACCAGTATCTGCTTGCCTGTCTGTGGATGGCCGTCTCTGTCCACACCTTGTTGTAAGTGCTGGGGTTAAAGGGCCAGCTCCCAGGCTCTTCCTCTGTGGAGACAGGGGACAGGGAGGACCCCTGCACACCAGAGGTTCTGAGGACACTGAGTGTTCCCAAAGGGCACGGCGTCCTGGAGCTGTGAAGCAGAATGTGGAGCCCTCCTGGGGAGGCGGCTGGAGAATGCTGGGCTGCAGGGCTCTTGGGGACCCTGCACGGGTCAGGCGGTGATGGGAGCCAGGGGGGTTGTCAGAACCCCCTCCAGGAAGGGGCCTGGTTGTGTGGGGAGGGTCCTGGGGGAGGAGGAGGGGACAGTGGGCAGCCCTCGGTTGTCCAGGGTGGCGGCGAAGGAGGCGGGAAGGAGCCTCATTTGAGGACGTGCAGGGGCCAGCAGGAATCAGGGGAGAGGCGCTCACCGGAGAAGAGAAGCCCCCTTCTGGTGGGCCTGTCTCTGGGGAGACACAACAGACCCCCCTGGAAACGACCCCTCCGAGCTGAGAGCCCCTCCCAGCAGACGTGACCCACCTGGTCAGGACACCTCGCACTTCCCCTCCTTTGCTGGAAAAACTGGCACAAAGCTGGGTCCTGTCCTAGTATGAGAACGGGACCCTGGCCTGGGTCCCCTTACCTCAGTCCGTCTGATGGCTCTGCTGCCTGCCCTGCTGCCTGTGGGAGAAGCCCCGACCCTTCTCCAGCCTACTTCTCCAGCCCACCCTCCTCCACTCACACTGTGGGCCCGGGTACAGGAGCTTTGTTCCCCGAAGCTTCCTCCCCTCCTCTGTCTTCCCTCCACTTCTCTCTTGGCTGACTCCTGGTCATCTTCCAGGTCACAGCAGAGATGCCACCTCTTCCAGGAAGCCTTTCTTTCTTTCTTTTTTATTTTGAGTTGGAGTCTCACTCTGTCGCCCAGACTGGAGTGCTGTGGCATGCTCCTGGCCACCGCAGCCTCGACCTGCTGGGCTCTGGCGATCCTTCCGCCTCAGCCTTCCAAGTAACCGGAACTACAGGCGCGCGCTACCACGCCCAGCTGATTTTTGATTTATTGTAGAGACGAGGTCTCGCCAAGTTGCCCGGGTAGGCCTCGAACCCGCGGGCTCAGGCAATCCACTCGCCTCGGCCTCCCAAGTGCTGGGATGACAGGCTGAGCCCCCGAGCCCGGCCCCAGGAGCCTTTCCTGATTCCCCCTGTCCTCACTCCTTCTTGTCTATCCCTAGAGTCAAAGGAGGTCTTGCTCAGCGGTGCATTTTCCTGGGGAGGGTGGAGACTGATCAGTTTGCAGAATGACTCACTGAAGGCCCAGACCCAAGGGGCTGTGCCTGGGTCACCGCAGCTGGGGCCAGGCGCGTTTAAAGCAAGGCTGCCCCCGACACGGCCCTGGCCCTGCATCCTGGTGCTCCTGCAGGTCAGGCCGAAGCTTCTCAGACGGGGCTGCTGCCATCTGCTGGAGACAGAGAGAATGCAGGTTCCCTTCGGCAGGGAGCCCCGAGGGTTCGCGTCTCAGCCTGAGGTCTTGACCGTCTCTGCAGACTTCCCCTTCTTGCGTTGCAGGTATTACTTTCTGGTCTACAACGCATCAGTCCTCTACTGGCAAATGGTGAGACCGTTTCTTAAGCCTGGATGTCGTCACCATCTGATCCCCAGCCTCTCCCAAATTGTAAACGTGTTAAATCAAACCGAGGAAGAAGACAAGGAGTGGCGTGCTGAGCTGATGCTGTGAGTTGGCTTGTCCTGCCCTTCCTGGCCTCTGAGCGAGCCCGCACGGCCAGCTCCGAGAGTCCAGACCGTCCTCTCCCAACTGGATTGTTATTTCACGCTGCTGGGGTCTGTCACGTGCTTTCTCCTTTGTAGTCACAAGTTGTGTGTGTTGTTCAAAGGTTGTTTCTCAAGAATCTGTAGGTGACATTTATTGTGTCCTGGTTATATGGCTGTCACAGCCGAACAAAAGGATGTGCTTAGACTCACAGCAAAGGAAGTGTGCGTCTGTGGCCCCAATTCTGGCTCATGGTTTTAAAATCTTAGTTCGGCAAAATGCTAATGTAGTAGACATGTGAGCAACGTAAAACAAAGCCGGAATGCACACGCCCATCTAGGTGGCCAGGTGGCCCATGGAGGAATAGCCATGGGGACAGCACACTGGCTACCCTGAGAAGCCACGGCGACAGGCTGTCAACAAGCACACATGGGCATTGCGCTGGGTGAACTGAAAGGGGGTCAGTCGGAGCTTTTCTCTGTTTGGGGAACTCTCGCTACAGGCCAGCAACTGGGTGAGTGTTGACGCTGGACACCTGAATTGTGCCCACCCCAGAGAATCTACACTTGTGTCCAATCCAGAGCCCGGAGGCCATTTGGAGAACTTTGCAAGATTGTAAATGCAGATAAAATCTCTCTTTTGAAGTGTCATTTTAAAGTATCCTAGAAATTAAAAGGCCAGTCATCCCCTCTCCTGATGCTTGCAGTAGCAAGCGTTTGTGGCTTCTGCTGGCCCTTCCGGAAGAGCCATAGCCCCTGGTGATGGCCAAAAGAGGGACCCCAGGGTATCTTCCTAAATTTTTGGTGAAACACAAAAATTATGCAAGTATAATTTTAAGTCATTTTAGGAGAGAGAACAAATAACCTGGTTGTTAGACATTTGCAGCAGAAAGCAATTTCAACAATGTTGAATCTCTACCGTTTTTGTGTTATCCAGGGAACTTCTTGAGTGCTACCTGCAAGCTGGAAAAACAGAGGAGGCAGCTAAATTCTGTTCCACTGCAGCCCCCTTCATAAAATCCAACGTGCCACACAAGTATCAACACATATTCTCTGTTATGGTAAGTTGTAAATATATAGTAAATATGTAGTAAAAATCATAGGTAAAAGAAATCATTTTCTTAAAAGTCATTGTTCAGAAAACTATGCGTAAAAATCACATACAAGTTTACTAATTGGGAGGTATAAAAACTTACATACACACATAGATAAGCAAAACAAATAAATAAATTAAAAAGAAATAGCAGTTCATTCTATGTGAAGACAGATATAGCCAAGACATTTGGAAACAAAACAAGACATTTTGCATTTACTATTGCTCTGAATACTTCTTTTGTATCATCACTGAATTTTTTTAAAAAGCTAATGAAAGTTTCTAAAGATACAGGTAATTACTAAAAGAACGTGTACGAGAAGCATTCATTCGCTTCTCCTCTTTACTTATAGGGGATCGGCTTAAGTTATAGCTGAAAAGCTAAATATAAAACTTAATGAGAAGATACATGCTAATTACACATATTAATTTTGCCGGGGGAATATTTACAATATAACGTCTAGACAGAAAATCTGGATTTCTAGCTAATCGTTGGCATTCAGATTAATATTCTGTTCCACCTCCCAGCAGGTTCGTCACGAATTAATGGACATGCTTCAGTTAAAGGAAGAAAAGAAAACTTCCATCAGCCTCACAGTCTCTTTTTATATTAATATGCTGAAAGCGTGAGTAGCTTTGGGAGGGAGAGCGAAGGGTGACTTTTCCAAGCGCCGAGCGCAGGATGACTCTGCACCCTCCAAGTGAGGGAGTCCCTGGTCAGTGGGAGGCGACTTTGGCCTTGACCTGGAGGATGTGGGAGCCTGGGCGGCATCAGGGTGTGAGGGTCTGAAAGCCAGGCCCAGTCCTCTGCCCTGCCGTCCTCCCATCGCTGAGAGGGAAAGGCCAGGGAGGGAGCGTGGAGCCTTTGAGCTGAGTAGAGACAATGGGCGGAGCAGCACAGAGTGACCAGCGGCATCAGTCAGGCCCTGAGGCTTGTGACTTGACCATGAAATGGAAAAAAACAGGAGTACTGTGTAGGCAAATTTTGATGGGAGCGGGTTAGAGTGGATGGAGAGAAGGTTATACTCGGAAAGTAAGTTGCTGTAAGGGACCGTGGAGACCCTCTGTGGCAGCTAGAGGGAGTTGGGACGTGTGTCTGGGTGCTGAGGGGAGTGGGGAGGTCACTGCTCACTGGGTTTGGGTGCTGGGAGTGCGGACGTCACTGTGTGTCTGGATGGGGATAGCAATGAGGAGATCTCACCCAGCGACAGAGGAATGCCGGCCCCAGCTCCCAGAGCAGTTGCGCAGAGAGAGGGCCAAGCATCTTCATCAAAGGGGGCCCCGTGGGCGGCACTGGCCCTGGCAGAAGAGTGTGTGCACACCTTGCCGGAGGGTTTCCGTTTCAGCGGTGGGGGCAGGTCACGTATCAACTGGAGAAGATGGAATGAGCAAGAGTGAACACTTGCCCGGGAAACTGGAGGAGACTCCTGTTTAGGGGGAAACACAATTTTGTAGAGTTTCTCTTCGGAGACTTTGAATCGATTCGATGAGATCTTTTAGTTGAGGAGTGTTTGCCTTAATTCTAGAAAAATGGACCAGAATGATTTGCCAGAAGACTTCGACAGCTTCCTGAAGAAGGCCTACAGACAGTTATGTCATTACAATCACCAGCGCTTTCCTTCAGTCAGAGAAGAAAAGTAAGTGTTTATGTGTTTCTGATTTTACATCTACAGAATCATTGTACAAAGTTTGGTAAGACCTGGATAATGTGAAAAAAGAAGAACAAGCCGCAAGAACTACCTTAGCAAAAGTCAGCCATTCTGGAGGTTTAAGCTAATTTCTTTCTAGTCTTGTTTTTTTTTTGAGTTGGAGCCTCACTCTGTCGCCCAGGCTGGAGTGCAGTGGCATGCTCACGGCCTCCTCAGCCTCAACCTGCTTTGCTCAGGTGACCTTTCCACCTCAGCCCTCCAAGTAGCTGGAACTACAGGTGCATGCTACCACGCCCGGCTAATTTCTTGATTTATTGTAGAGACAAGGTCTCACCAAGTTGCCCAGGCTGGTCTTGAAACCCAGGACTCAGGCAATCCTCTAGCCTCAGCCTCCCAAAGTGCTGGGATTACAGGCTTGAGCCACCGCGCCCGGCCTTCTAGTCTTTTGTATTCTGAGATTTGCACTGTTTAGGGGTACTTTCATATCCTACTTTTAAAAATCAAGCTTAATTTCTAAGCACTAGGTGTTTTCCAGTTCTTCCAGCATCTTCTTGCATATTTCTGAATAGCGGCACTAGATGTGTTTTGCTGGTGGAAGGACATACCTGCTTCTCGAGCCTTTCTCCGGCTAGATTGTCTGGATGCTGGGCTTTCTTGAATCCTCTGAGAACGGCTCAGAGTTTGGGCAAGTCCTGGGCTGGATGCCGAGAGTGAGCCGCCCAACCGAGGCTGCCTGAAGAATCTGGAAAGTGCTTTCCTGGATTTCCCAGGGCTGGCAGGGGTCTGTTCCCCCAGTCCTCGTTAGACAAGAACAGCTGGGGCTACCAAGAGCCCTCTCGGTCCCAGACAGTGTCTCGGACCCCTCACCTGCAGGCACCTCCTTTGCCCACGGCCCCGTGTGTGGGTGCTGCCCCTCCGGCGTCTCCGTGGCTCTCTTCTGTGCCAGCTTCCAGTTCTGTTGTGCCGTGGCTGCCGAGGCTAGCCAGAGCCGTTTCGTGTTTGGTCACCTGAAGTTCTTTTGAGCGTCGCGAGGTCGCTGCTCCCGGGTTCTGGAAGAGACCCGTGTGCCCTGCTTGCCACCTCACACCTCGCCCGTTGGAACAGCCCTTGGGAGCCCTGAGAATCCCGGGGGCTTCTCAGCACTCTGTGGCGGGCCCTGCTGACCGGGCGTCTGTGTCTGGAATTCTGGGTGGGAAAAACGCCATGTCGCTAGTTTAAGACCAAGGAAGGACCGAAAACCGGTGACCTGTCCTTGCACAGATTCTCTTTTCCGGGCCTGCCCCGCAGGCCTGGGCGCCAGATCTGGACAGAGAGGCCAGCGGGCTGGAGGCCGGGCCTGCCAGGGCTTTGAAGGTCCAGAGGCTGAGCCGGGGGCGGAGGAGGCGGGTAGGGCTGAGCGCTGGGCGAGCAGAGGGACTCACAGCCCCCTCGCCTCCCTCCGCCTCTGTGTCCTGGCCTGGGTTCCGAAGGTCAGTCTCTGGCCTTGTAGCCCAAGGCCCAGCTGGGGCCGCCACGGAAGCATTTCTGTTTGGCCACTTCCATTTCCTTTTTGTTCCTCTTCATCTTACTGCTGTGGTGTCTACCCTGATTCCCGCCTCTGGTTGAGCAATGGCAGGTGCATTTTTCCTTTCTCTGTGTTGAACCACTTCTGCTTTGTTTGTTTGTTTACAGAGTGCTCTTGCTTTTTGAATTAGCTCGTCTTTCTTTGTCCTTGAAATGTGTGGGGATTGCTTCTGACTGCCTCTCAGACCTGAAGACAATCGAAAGCACGGTAAGTGGCTTTAATGACACCGCTGACGAAGGAAGGGCAGATGTTCTGTGCGTTTGGAAGAACAGCAAGGGAAAGGAAAAGCAGTTCGCAACGCTGTCCCCCAAAGGGCGCTGCACACGTGGCTGGCAAATTGCATTCCTGTCTTTCTTATGTGCAGCTTCCACAGTGTGGCTGCTTCCTTTTTACCTTTGTCGTAGGCACTGGTTCACACTGCCCCAGCTGTCCCTGCAGTGCACTTTAAGGGCTGCTTAAAATGTCACTGGACATTTCCATCATATACAGTGGTCTCCTCCTTATTCGTGGTTTCACTTTCTGCTGTTTCAGTTACCCCTGGCCAACTGCAGTCTGAAAATATTAAGATATTTTGAGAGAGAAAGAGAGAGAGAGAGATCATATACACATAAATTGTATGATGATATATTGTTATAATTGTTCTATTTTATTATTGATCATTGTTAATCTATTATTGTATCTAATTTACAAATTATACTTTATCATAGGTATGTGTGTGTAGGTAACACATACACAGCATTATTAGGCAAAAAGAGGATCAATGCCTGATAACATAGCTGATGATTTCCCAGGAAGGCTGAGGCGGAAGGATTGCCTGAGCCCAGCAGGTTGAGACCGCAGTGGCCATGAGAATACCACTGTACTCCAGCCTGGGTGATGGAGTGAGATTCCAACTCAAAAAAAAGAAAAAAAAAGAAAAGAAAACTGCACTGTCTCAGATGAAAAAATACACTAGAGGGCATCCCCCTTGCGTCCCTTCTCACTGTGGAAGTTTTTCTGTCCTCTCAATAAATCCTGCTTTTAAAAAAAAGAAAAAAATACACTGGATATAATTTAAAGCAGATTAGACATTTTAGAAGAAGAAATTAGCAAACTTGACAATACAGCAATGGAAACTATCCAAAATGAAACACAGAGAGGAAAAACACTGAAAAGAAAAATAGGATCAGTGAGCCCTGGGACAACTTCAAACCAACTACTGTATATGTGACGGGAATCCCTGAAGGAGAGAAGAGAAATGGGGAAGCAGAAAAAAATATTTGAAGAGATAATGATCCAAAATTCCAAATATGATAATCTTCAAATATAGGGTAAAGGACATCATATATTGAGAAACAAAATTAAGAATGACAGCAGACTTCTTGTTGGAAACATAGGAAGTCAAAAGATTGAAGACTATCTTTAAGATACTGAAATAAAACTATCAACCTAAAAATCTAAGCCCAGAGAAAATATTTTTCAAAATCAAAAGCAATGATTTTATTTTATCTTATTTCATTTTTTGAGTTGGAGTCTCACTCTGTCACTCAGGCTGGAGGGCAGTGGCACACTCACGGCCACTGCCGCCTTGACCTGTTGGACTCAGATGATCCTACCGCCTCAGCCTTCCAAGTAGCTGGAACTATAGGCAAGCACCACCATGCCCGGCTAATTTTTTTTTTTAATTTTATTGTAGCATGAGGTCTCACCAATTTCCCCAGGCTGGTTTTGAACACATGGGCTCAGACAATCCTTTCACCTCAGCCTCCCAAAGTGCTGGGATTATAAGCGTGAGCCACTGCAGCACCTGGCCAAAAACAATGGTTTTAAAGATTCATTGAAATATTAAAAAACCCAAAGAATTTGACCCACACTACACGACAACAAGACATTTTAAGGCAAGTTCTTCAGGTCAAAGGAAGATAATACTAGATGGAAAACTGGGTCTACGCAAGAGAATGAGGTATACCAGAAAGCAAAGCCACAAGGATAAGTCTAAAGGACTTTTAAGGCCAGGCATGGTAGCTCACATGTGTAATCCCAGCACTTTACGCGACTGAGGTAGGAGGATCGCTTGAGCCCAGGAGTTTGAGACCAGCCTGGGCAACGTAGCAAGACCTCGTCTCTACAAAGACATTTAAGACATTTGCCAGGTGTGGTGGCACTTGCCTGTAGTCCCAGCTACTTGGAAGGCTGAGGCAGGAGGATCGCTTGAGCCCAGGAGGTCAAGGATGTGATGAGCCGTGGTTGTGCCACTGCACTCCAGCCTGGGTGACAGAGCGACACCCTGACTCCAAAGAATTTTTAGAAAAGACTTTTAAAAGTATTTAGAGCTTTTCAAAAGACAACTGACTGTTTAAAACAAAGATACTAAGGACATGGTGCGGGGCTTCGAAATACAATGTACTGCAATGACAGCATAAAGGCAACAGAGAAGAAATGAAAGAATACTGTCGAAAAGCTCTCCCTCTACACAGTGGTGTCACTCACGTGTGGTTTGGGTTGCTCGTGGTCTGAAAGTATTACGTGGAAAGTTCCAGAAGTAAATCATTCATAAGTTGTAAACTACGCACCCTTCTGAGTAGCATGACGAAATCTTAGACTGTCCGTCCCAGTTCACTTGGGATGTGAAGACACTCTGGAGAGGCCTCCAGCCTGTCAGTCACAGAGAAGCCATCTCAGTCATCTGATTGACTGTCACCATTTTATCGTGCTTGTGTTCAGGTCGCCTGTATTTTACTTCATAACGGCCCCAAAGTGCAAGAACAATGATTTGAATATGCCAGAGAAGCCGTAAAGCAGTGGTCCCCAACTAATTTGGCATCAGGGACCAGTTTTGTGGAGGACAGTTTTTCCACGGACTGGGGTGGGGGATGGTTTTGGAATGATTCAAGTGCATCACATTTTATTTCTATTATTAGTACCTTGTAATCTATCATGAAATAATTATACAACTCACCATCATGCAGAATCAGCGGGAGCCCTGAGCTCCTTTTCCTGAAACTAGACAGTCCCATCTTGGGGTGATGGGAGACAGTGCTAACATCGCTGCCTCAGCTCCACCTCACATCATCAGGCATTAGATTCTCACAAAGAGCGTGCAACCTAGATCGCTCGCAAGCAGAGTTCATAACAGAGTTTGCACTCCTATGGGAATCTAATGCTGCTGCTGATCTGCAGGAGACAGAGCTCAGGAAGTAATGCCAGTGATGGGGAGTGACTGTCAGTACAGATGAAGTTTCACTCACTCACCCGCCACTCACCTCCTGCTGTGCCAGCCAGTTCCTAACAATCCATGGCCTGGGGATTGGGGACCCCCGCTCTCAGGTGCTTCCTTTCCATGAAAGGGTGAAAGTCTTGACTTAATACAACTTGTATGCGGGTTACCATCTAGAATGAAGAATGAATATTCTCTCTGTGAAATTGTGAAGAGGGAAAAAGAAAATCATGCGAGTTTTGCTGTTGCACCTCAAACTGTAAAAGTTACAGCCACAGTACATGATAAGTGCCTAGTTAAGATGGAGAAGGCTTTACGTTTATGGGTGGAAGACAAGGACAGGAACGTGTTCCGATCGGCAACACTTGGGTTCAGTGCTATCCGTGATTTTAGGCATCCACTGAGGGCCTTGGAGCAGACCCCCTGCAGAAAAGGGGTCTGCTGCACTTACCTGACAAATAATATGCATATACTGTAAGTGGTATAATATTACTCAGGGTCGGCTCTGATAAATAAGTGATATACACCCTATTCCCTCAAGCTACCATTACAGTTAATAACTAACAAAGGAAATGGAGTGGAATCTGGTGTAGTCTGGATATCTGTCCCCTCCAAATCTCATACTGAAAATTGATCCCTTGTGTTGGAGGTGGGAGTCATTATCACAAGGGATCGCGGAGGGGTTTAGGCTGGAGGGGATCATCCCTCATCCCTTGTGATGATGACTGAGTTCTCATTCTGGGGGTTTTCCTGAGAGCTGACTGCTGAAAAAAGCCTGGCACCTCCCTCTCTTCTCTCTTGCCTCCCTTCTTCTGACCATGTGGTGCTGCTCCCCAAGTAGCTGGAACCACCGGCACATGCCACCATGCCTGGCTACTTTTTTGATTTATTGTAGAGACGAGGTCTTGCCAAGTTGCCCAGGCTGGTCTCGAACCCCTGGACTCAGGCAGTCCTCTTGCCTCGCCTTCCACCATAAGCGGAAACAGCTTGAAGCCCTCGCCAGAAGCAGATGCGGGCACCATGCTTCTTGTACAGCCCGTGTAACTGTGAGCCAAGCAAACCTCTTTCCTTTATAAATTGCGCAGCCTCAGGTATTCCTTTATGGCAATACAAGTGGACGAAGACAGAATCATAAAAGATAATCAGTTAATTTAAAACAAGACAAAGAAGAGACAAAACAGAATAATAAAAAGATGGGACAAGTAGAAAATACATAGTATGGTATAGCAGATTTAAATCCAATTGTATAGTAATCACATTAAATGTAAGTGGCCCAAATATCCCAATTAAAAATCACATACTGTCATATTGGGAGAAAAAAAGCAGGACTAAAACCTATGCAGCCTGCCAGAAACCCACTTTAAATGTAAGCTATAAGTAGATTAAAAGCGAAGGAATGAAGAAAAATGTACCATGCTAACACTGACAAAAACAAAGCTGGAGTGGCTACATTAGTGTTATACAAAGTAAGAATTAGAGAAAAAATTACTAGTGATGAAGAGGGTCTTTTAAAAGTGGCCAACTGACCAGGCTCGGTGGCTCAGCCTGTAATCCCAGCACTTTGGGAGGCCGAGGCGAGTGGATTGCCTGAGCCTGCGAGTTCAAGACCAGCCCGAGCAACTTGGTGACACCTCTTCTCTACAATAAAATAAAAAATAGCTGGATGTGGTAGTGCACATCTGTAGTTCTGGCTACTCGGAAGGCTGAGGTGGAAGGATCGCCAGAGCCCAGGAGGTTGACCCTGGGGTGGCTGTGAGCGTGGGTGCCACTGCACTCCAGCCTGGGCGAAGGGGTGAGACTCCAACTCTAAGTAAAAAATAAATAAATAGATGTGGCCAGTTAATAGAGAAGACATAATCGTTTCTTTTCTTTTCTTTTCTTTAAGTAGGAATCTCTGTTGCCCAGGCTGGAGTGCAGTGGCATGCTCACAGCCTCCGCAGCCTCAACCTGCTGGGTTCAGGTGATGCTTCTGCCTCAGCCTTCCAAGTAGCTGGAACCACAGGCACATGCC